CGGGCCTTGAAAAGATTTTCTATATAATTGGCCTCTCTTAAAGCTATATCGTGCTACTTTGGCGCGTAGTGCCTGGGACACTTTGGAGTCTTCAGGAAACTTTCCGTGCTCGAGATAATAGATGATTTCATTCCTACAGTCCCATACCAAATTAGTCGCATTTACCTCATAGTTGCTATCTGTATCCAAGACCGAGTTCATCTGTTGTACTACCATCCCGGACTCCGATCCTTTTATTTCTGTTGATGATCCAAGGTTAGCCAATGCGTCTGCTTCAGCGTTATTTTCCCTCGTGATATGAGTAATCGACCATTCTCGCAATCGCGCCAACAAAGCCTGGACCTTTACCACATATTGTTGCATGCACTCATATTTGGTTTCATAGATCTCGTAGACCTGATTTACCACCAGTTGTGAGTCGTATTTGAATTTGATGACCTCAGAATCAAGTCTCCGGGCCAGTTCGAGCCCTACAATCAAAGTATCATACTCTGCTTCATTTTTAGTCAAAAGGGCCGTTCTAATAGCTTGCCTTAGGGTTTCCCTCAAAGGCGTGATTAATACTATACCAAGCCTGAACCCTTTTACGTTGGAAGCTCCATACATAAATAAGGTCCAAACCTTTTCTCCTCCCGTTAAACTTTTACTAATGTAATAATTAGGAGATTGCGTACCTTCGTCCTCACGGACTAAAACTATACTTACTGCGACTTCCGAGACCGCGAGATAGACTAACAGTGTTTCACCTTCTTTTGGTTTCGAAAGCAATGAAGGGCTTGATAAGTGCTTTTTCAAATCTCTCAAAGCCTACTGGCACCCCGGGGTCCATTCGAAATTATTTTTCTTTTTTAGCAGTGCGAAGAAATGGTGACATTTCTCTGATGACCGAGAAATGGGCCTGCTCAAAGCTGCCAATTTCCCTATGAGCCTTTGGACTTCCTTCAGGCTTGATAGTTGGTCTGGGATTTCTTCGATGTCCTTGATCTTATCGGGGTTTACCTCAATCCCCCTTTGCGACACCAGAAATCCCGGAAACTTGCCAGAGTTGACCCCGAACGCGTATTTCTCAGGGTTAAGTTTCATATTATGCTTCCTTAGGATGTCAAAAGTTTCTTACAGATGTTTAAGGTGATCACCTTCATTTAAAGACGTAAAGGGCATATCGTCTATATAAGATTTCATAGTTTTTCCTATTTGTTTTTCAAATATCTTATTCACGAGCCGTTGATAAGTGGCTCGGGCATTTTTTAACCCGAAGGGCGTCGCATTATAGCAATATATACCAAAATTTGTAATAAATGAAGTCTTTTCCTGATCCTCCGGGTTCATCTTAATTTGATTGTACTCGGAATAAGCATCAAGGAAACTCATTAACTCGTGCCCGTCTGTAACATCAATTATTTGATCGATGTTTCGCAGTGGGAACGAGTCTTTCAGGCTTGCCTTATTCTAATCTTTATAATCTACACAAATGCAAAATTTATTTTTCTTCTTAGGAACTACTACTACATTAGCTAACCAGTTTGGATACTTTACCTCTCGAATCAAACCGATATTAAGTAAGCGAGTTACCTCTTCCTTCACGAATTTATTCATGGCTTCGGTAATAGGGCGTTTCTTTTGTCTTACCAGAGGTACGTTGGAATCCAAACTAAACTTATGTATGGATACCTCCGTCACGATACCTGTCACATCCGCATGTGACCATGCAAAATAATTAGCATTAGATTTAAGAAATTTAATAAAGCCAGATCTGAGCTCGGGGTGCAGTCTTGTCCCCAAGTGGAATTTCCTTTGTAAGAACTCTTCGAAAAACACAACTTGTTCAAGTTCTTCCGCCGTGGAATTCATTGCATCCGTCTCTTATGGAACCTGGAAATGCCTCGGCACCTGATAAAATTCTGACGTTTCTGCCCCTCGACTAACTTCATCTTCGAGAACGGGTGCCGATTCCTACAATTGCTATGTCGCATGTTCTTTTCCTTTGCTATTGTAGATCGAAATTGCATTCATCTCCCTTGCCGCCAGTTGTTCACCTCTTATTTGTTTAACTCCTTCAGGCGTTAGAAACTTCATCAATTGATGATATGTTGATGGTACATTCTTCATCTTGTGCCCCCACAACCTTCCCAGGATAATGTTATATCCCATATCACCATCTACCACTTCGAAAAGAGTTATTTTCATTACTACTTCGGCGTTTGTGGGTAACAAAATCTCTCCTCGGGTTGTCACGCTCGCGAGGTTGAATTCGGTGAGGTGTTTTGTGGCCGGAATGATGCTTCCGATGAGTTTAGCTTGATCCAATAGTCTCCATTGTATGATATTGGCCAAACTTCCTGGATCCACTAGAACACGTTTAATCTTAAAATCTAGCACATTTAAAGAAATTACTGTTGCGCCATTGTGTGGTAGCAGCAATCCGTCTGCGTCCTCCTCCATGAAAGTGATATCGTCTTCGGCGACTTCCCAGAGACTTTTGCTATGGGTTATTGATACTTTTGTCTTTTTTGCTGTCGAAAAGGTGACCCGTTGATCTCGTTCCCCCCCCCCCCCCCCGAAGATCATGTTGAGTGTTTGGCGCGTGGGGTCTTCTCCTGCTCTCGAGGGTTCCTCGTTGTCTCACCGGTTATGATCATACTTATTCTTTGCTCGATCACTCAAGAATTCTATGAGATGACCATTCTTCAACAATGTTGACACTTCTTCCCGGAGGTGTCGGCAGTCCCCTGTCCGGTGGCCATTCGTCCCGTGGTATTCACACCACAAGTTGGGATCCCTTTGGCTGGGATAAGATCTCATTGGTTTCGGAAACCGTACTTCTTTAATGTTTCTCATGACTGACACCAACTCCACTATACTGACGTTGAAATTGTGTTCTGACAGTTTGGGGTAGGAAGGATCCCGTGCCCCCGACGCTTCTTTATCCTTTAATAATCTATTGTTCCGACCGTGATCAGTCCTTCTATCGATGGCGACCCTGTTCCTGACTAGAAGCCTCTACCGTGGCCTTCAGTCTGTTCACAGGGCAAAAACTGGCCCCTCGAAGACCGTCTGTCTGTGTCGAGACCGTCCTTGGTTTTTCTCTGTTCTTTTCCCGTCCTTTTGTCGACGATGGAAAGCCAACCTGATCATCTTCGATTCTTATCTTTGATTCGTACCGGTTGTGGACATCCGCCCAAGTCGTTGCATGAAACTCAAGCAGGCTTTCCTTCAAATTTAGGGAAGCATCTGAACTTCTCGGATTCAGTCCCTTGGTGAATGCTTCAGCCGCCCATTCATCCGGGATAACTGAGAGAAACATTCTCTCCTTCTGGAATCGGGTAACGAAGTCTCGTAGCAACTCAGACTCTCCTTGTGCAATCCTAAATATGTCAGCCTTTCGGGCTTGTACTTTTCTGGCCCCAGTATGAGCCTTGATGAAATAGTTCGCGAGCATCTCAAAGGAGTTTATTGAATGCTCGGGGAACAATGAATACCACATCAAGGCTCTCCTCGTAAGAGTCTCTCAAAATTTCTTCAGTAAAACAGATTCAATTTCGTGAGGAGTTAAATCATTTTCCTTCACCGCCTTTTTATAGGTGGTAATATGCTCCTGAGAGTCTGAAATTCGGTCATACTTTGGCATATCAGGCATTTTAAACCGCTTCGGGATTAATTCTGGTGCCACGCTTGGCTTGAATGGCAATTGAGAATACTTTTTTGAGTCTGGACCTTTCATCGCCGGTGGTGCACTCGGAATTTGGTCCATGCAGACGTTCACTTTCCTCATAAACCGTAAGAGTTCATTTTTGAAAGGATCATTATTGAGGCCGGATCCGCTCCCCCAGCCCATTCAGAGCCAACTTCCCCCTCGGGTTGTTGTTGTCGACCCTCTGCATTATTTGATTCGCGTGAGCGGAGGAACTGGATCTCGTCTATTCGCATTATTCGAAGCCCCCAACAGCACCTGCTTCAACTCCGTCAAAACCTTATCCTATCGCGTGAGGTGGCCTAGAATGATCGCATGTTGTTCTTGTAGGACCCTTACCGCGTCAACGACATGTTCCTCCTCAGCATAATCGGCAGTTGTCTCCCAAACATGTCAAGGATATTTCCTGTCATGCACCGGCGTGGCGTCATTTCCCTCGTTGTGGGTGTTACTGATTGAGTCCTCAAAATGAGGTTGATCCCCTCTAGCCTCGGGATTGTGCATGTTGTTAACACTGTTATCTGCTATTTCTTATGATTTTTTCTAAGACAAAATAATCAAAACACGTTAGTAAAAAAATCAAGGATCAATTTAATTGCACGACTGTCTTAGGCCCCACGGTGGGCGCCGAACTGTTTACCCATAAAATGGTACAGTTGAATTTATACGTGATTTCTAGACAAGTGAATTAATTCTATCCTGAAATAACAAGATAATTGAATAAATATATAACACCTAGCCTTGATAGGAAGACGAAATGACAGAAATAAAGACTCTGGTAGTGAAGCCTCCGGGCGCAACAATAATAAGAACAAGAACAGAAAATAAGAAGGTAAAATTGATTATAGCTTTGAGTAGATTGTAGTATTAGTTTGCCAGAAAATTTGTGTCCTTACAATGATAACAGAGCTCACTATTTGTAGCTATGTCTAGAAAAGGAGGTCCTAGGACCGTACCCTTCTTTAATGTCAATTATGAGGGTCATTGATGAAGATGTAATGGTGAGCATAAATGCCAAATTCCTTGTAATGAGCAATGCTATTAATGTTGTGGAATATTCTCCATTAAATGCTATCGCGCGAAGAGTATTTATTGCATTTTTATGAGCATTATTCTTTTCGGTGACAGACGGGACCGTCTTTTAGGAAAAGTTATATCATAGTTATTTTTCTAAGTTATTCTGATCACTTCAAGTTGGCAATGAATACAATTAATTTACAAATCTTGTTCTTATTCTCACTATTCCTTGTCATAAGAGAAAAATCCTATGAGATTCTCAAGACCCTGGCTTGCCAAGAAGATTACTAGATGGAGGAGAACAACAAAATCACATTTAATTTAATGTCTTTATATGCATTACATTCACAAAAAAATGAAATATTTGTCCAAAAACATTTAAAGATTCTTCTCCAATCAAAATGAATCATATGCATATATACACATAGATTGAAAATTAATTAGTAGGTGTAGTAGGAAGATGTTAGAACTAAAATTCTTTTACTAATTATTTTCCACCTAGACCAAGGTAAAAAGGTGCACCAGTAGCAGGCAACCATTCTTTTCCTTGAAACCAAACAGCACCAGCAGTATATTTAGTTGCTTGTTGTTGGTTTAGTACCTTAAATTTCTTGAAAACTTTGTTCCTTGCATTAGTAGCAGCACCAGGTCCTTTGTTAGCATATTCATAACATTCACATGTCTCATGGTAATGTTCTTTATCCCATATCATCCATCCTTCTGGTTTAATAAAACTACCAATTTCACTCTCCATTACTACATTTGTCGATAACGCCTTCCATGGACGTCCTAAGAAATTCTCGACGATTTTATCACCGATGAGTTCTTTTTCTGCGACGATTTTGCAATTTTGCAATGCCACTCCTGTTGGTTGTGACTGCACTTCTCTACCGTCTGCTGTGATTGTGTTCCATTTTTGGCCTTCCCCTGGCTTTCTCAAAATGATGGTGGAATCTTGGATTACAGCCGTCCCTCTACCAAAGATGAAATCGATCGTGCCTGATATGACACAATTGCGATAGAATTGACGTTTGTTTTGATAGTATAAGGTGTCTTGGTAGCCTTCAATGTTGCAGTCGAAAACTGCAGATTGATCACCTTGTATTCTGAGTGCCACGGCTTGTTGTCCTTTTGGACCAGCTGTGTTTCGGAATGTAATTCCTTTGGCAACAAACCCTGGTGCGTTAACACCTGCAAAAGATATTTGTACAATCAGATCACTTATAATTAAAGTACATGCATTAATAAGGAAAAGTACTAACTAATTAACGTGATATCATAGGTTAAACAACACCAATGATGTAAAAACCTTTGCATTCTCCGGTGTATATATATAACGTATTCCATATGCATAATTGTATCCATGCATGGATGGTTTCCAATATTATAGTATTCCCTTTGTTCCATTTTTTCGTGTTACGTACTATTTTTATTAGTCAGTAAAAAAAGAATGCTGTTTTTTTTATATTTGAGAACAACTTAACTTTATATGATATGCATTTATAGACACATAAATGTCATGTCATGTTTAAGAAATACAGATTTCAAAAATATTCTTTCTTCCTTAAGTTTCATGTACAGTCAAATACGTCATATAAATTGAAGCGAGAGAGCATACTTACCGAATGTAGCAGAATTCATGGTGGTGTATTTCAAGATTCCGACATTTTTGTCTGAAGTTATGATTGTTTTCCCCGCGCCATCTCCATAGATAAACACGTTCGGTTGCGTCTTATCAACAAGGACCTGTTCGTTATAAACACCAGCTTTGACATATACTATGTATTTTCCTTGATGTTTTTGAGGGTATGCTTTAATAGCATCAGAAACTGTTTTAAATTTTCCACTTCCATCTTTTGCAACTATTGCATGAGGAGTCGGGGTGCTAGCCAAAAGCTTACGGTCAGCAACAGGAAACCACGTAGGGTAATTGTCATGACCAATTTGGTAATTTGATTCAAGAAGTTTTCGGTTTAAAAGACCATCAGGAATTTGAAAGTCCGAGGCTTGGAGAGCAGATGAAATCTTAGCTACAATGTCAATGGCATTGTTAGTCAATTGTGTGGAGTTGACGAGGTATTTTTCAATGGCGGATTTGTACTCAGGCTTGTTAATGGAATCTATACACTCGCTCTGATAAGAGTAGACAGCACTGACGTAATTCAGAATATCGTAGACTTTGTCATTCAGGGACTTCATTTGGTTCTCGTTAACCACTTTAAGTGTGGATTCGAGTTCTTCAATTGCATCTTCCAATAGTACTTTGCAATCTTCTATTGCCATGTGATTATAAGGATCATTTTCCTTATTAACATTAGTTTTTCCAGTTTCATGTAAAGATTTCTTGATCTCTTGTACGGTGTATTCAAAAGCAGCCATAATATAGTCTTTAATTGTAGCAGAATCGTTAGATGCAACTTTATCAAGACTTTGTACACATGCATCCTTAAATGATGTAGGTTGACAAAATTCATCAACTTTTTTCATTTGAACTTTGGTGCTTTTATCATCATCGTTATCTCCATTTTTGTGTACAACAACTACAACTCCTACAATTACACCTACTAAAAGAATCAAAGATACCAATGAAACCACTATTTTCCCTACCATCTTTGCTTACTTCTTTCTTCTTTTTTTTTGTTTGGAAATCTGAAGTTTGTTTTTTTGGCCCCTTTTCCGATAAATTTCTTAAAGGAAAAAGGGAAAGCTAAAGATGATAGTGAAATCACAAGGTTACTCCTCTCGTTGGTGTTTATAAATATAACACTGGAACCAAAGAGAGGATATAGATGAATGAATTAACATGTTATAAGGAGGTTTTTATAGTGCTAAGGGGAGAGAGGGTTAAACATTGTTGTTGACTTTAATTTTGCATCTCAAGTCGACGATTGAGCTAGAGATGTTTGAGGCATAACTTAAGATATACCTCTAATGTGGTTGTGGCCAATAATGAATGTGTGTGTTGTTTGACGTTAGTTTGATTACATGTAAAATTTAATGGCTCTAGAATTTGATTGTTTACTTAAATATGAAAGACTTCAAAAATCACGGTAACCTTATTTTTTATTTGTATAGGCTCTTATTACATTAATGTAGTGGTGAGATGGTCTTGTTGTTGGTTTTGATTTTTGTCCAAATAGCTGTACAAATCAACTAATCCAGATACGTGATTTGTAAGGTTCATTAAAATGTAAAGAACTATCTACTAAAAAAAAATCATTTTTAGTGCTCGAACCTGATACTTGTGGCTAAAGATGGAGAACTCTAATTAGAGGGGACAAGGAAAATACTTAGAGGAGAATAGGTATGTATTGATTATAATTTTATAAGATAGGGAGAAAATTGAATTATAGGGGAGAAGGGAAATAATTACCCTTGCATGCACAGAGTAACAGTTTACCTTATACTCTGAAAAACATTGTTAAGGATCAAATTAAGGAAAAAAGAAATATTTAATCTTAATCGTTTTCAATTTAAATTAACCAAAATGCCCTTACCAATAAGGCAATAACAACAGTGCGAACAAAAGGCACCTTAAATTTTTTTTTTTTTTTTTTTTTTTTTTTTTTTTATTCTCTGCGCTCAATTTCCTCAAACAAAATTAGAAAAATATTATCATATTGCAACAACCAAATTATACATGAAGAAGAATCAAGAATGTTGCTGGTAGTAATTCATGTATTCCCCTCGAGATTGTCTTTGATATGCTCATAAGTGTCGTTTTAGTCAAGTCTCTGTTGCATTTTAGGTGCGTTTCTACGTCCATTTGCTCCCCTATATTATCACAACCCTCATTCGCTGAAGCACACCATTGGGATTTTAAGCTTGTGTAACTTAAAAAGGGTGAATGAGAAATGGAAGAAAAATGAAATATTTGAGTTTTCCCTGGCAAAGGGACATTGTCCCATATCGGAGGAAGAAAAGGCTTTTGATGGCACTACTAGAAATCCGGTAAAAACCGATCAAAAAAACCGACCAACGTTGGTCGGTAATGGCCAAAAACCGACCAAAACGCGACCATTTACCTGTGGACGGTATTTTTGTGGTCGGAAAGGAATACCGACCAAAGTTGGTCGGAAATTACCGACTAACTTTGGTCGGTCAATTAAATTCAAAAAAAAAATAGTTTTTCGCATTTTTGCGCCAAAGAAAACTGACCAAAGTTGGTCGGTTTCGTAAAAAAAAAAATATTTTGAAAAATCGACCAACTTTGGTCGGTTTTTTGACCGACCAAAGTTGGTCGGTCGACCTTGGTCGATTTTTGCCGAATTTCTAGTAGTGTGGGTATATATATAATTGCTCTTCTTCTAGCTCTTAAAGAGTTAAGAAGAAGGCAAACATCGCGCCGCCGTCGTCGTCGTCGTCGTCGTTCGCTCGGCTCGGCTTCGGCATGACCCGCGACCGAGTCAGGCGCGTTTTCTTTCCCGGATTATTTTAAATACATTTTTCCCGCAATATTTCAAGTAACCCTTTTCCAACAGCCATGGCTGTTTCTCTGAAAGGTTGCAAACCTTTTCAGAAACAATGCCAGCAACTCTATAAATAGAGTTTGAATCCTAGAATCTTTCCTTACGAAATTTTTTGAGCTTCTTCTTCTTCTTCTGCACAATAAATTCCAGTGTGTTTTACAGCCTTCGAGTGGCTCGCTGTTCACCGGCGTTTTGGTACCAACACTTCGGTAAGTTAAATCGTTCTATCTTGGGAGGATATATTCCAGCACCTCGGGTACTTGAGGGGAATAATT